TCTCTCTCTCTCTCTCTCCCTCTCCTTCTCCTGCCATGGTGACTTCATCCTCTAGAATTCTACAGCATTTTGGTCTCCTTGTTTATTCCAACTCTTATCGTGTGAATCTTTATCTTATTCAGTCATGATTTAATTCATATTCTTAATAGGAAGATCTAAAACTAAGATTAATATATGAGTAATTTTAATTCAGTCACGACTATCTTGTTCTCATTATGGATATCCTTGATTTTGATTTAATTAGAACCAATTTCTCAAATTTTTACAATAGAGACCAATAGGATTCAAGATATTGCTATTAATCATTTATCTGAAGTCGGGATCTAGGAGAACAACCTAGGCGTTGAATAGGTTGTTAACCAATTTTTAGTTCGAATTAACCTGTCTTGGAATTTTAAAAAGTTAGTGTCTGGTTGAGTTCAGCAGCTGGTCCAGACTTACTGCTCCATTCTGAACAACATTAGGATGCTCCTGGAAACTCTACTGCTGAATCAAATTTTCTAGAAAGCTATTAAAAGGTCTGCGTGACAGAGCTTTTGATCAAAGTTTTTGCAGATTTTGTTAAAGTTGAAGAAATACGTGGTTAAAAAGTTGATAAAAATTGTGGATTCTATGAAATATGTGCTTAAAATTGAAGTTTGACCTCATACAAGCACAACTTGACTCAACAGTTCTTAGACATGCTATTAACGAGATGAATAGTTTGTCCGTTTATGATTTTATTAATCTCGACGGACGATACCAATTAAACCAGCCTATCAGCTATTTTAAGTGGAACCAAGAGATGAACACAGTATTTATATTTCTGTTACCCTGATTCTTTTTGGACATGGATTATTCTTCTTGTACATAATGGCGCCACTTGGGCATTATGGACACCATTATGTACCCCAAGCATTACTCATCGGACATATTGGGTTTATTTTTATGTGTGCATTTGTGCAAATGCATTATATTGATAAAAAAAAAAACTAGGTATGAGCAACAGGTGAAAGCCAATTAATTCATAACAATGTATTATAAGGAATGGAGCCGTGTATGGGTCCTCCTGGTTGACCTGTATTAGTTGCGTGTTTTCATGTGTGTGTCTGTGTGTGTGTGTGTGTGTGTGAGAGAGAGAGAGAGAGAGAGAGAGAGAGAGAGAGAGAGAGGGAGAGGGTGTGTGGTCAAAGAAAAAACTGAAAGGGGAGACATGGGCACATACTCGACAAGAGATTGTTTATTCTCTTTTGAGTCTAGTGTACGTATGAAGATGTCGTTAACATAGAAATTTTAGAATCTAGGATTTTGTAAAGATTTTGAATTATTTCGTCATGCTAGCTTAATGAATCTAGGCAAAGGCAACAGCAATGTAATCAATTCATCTGGTTCTGTGTGTTTTCAAGTGTCCTTGATTTAAAAGTACTTTGACATTTCTGTACTGCGTGCATTTTAAGACACTTGTTTCTCCTACAGGTTTTGGACCGGGGTGAGAAAA